GAGACATGGTGGACAAATAAACAAATAAAATCAGTTAAAATTTGTGAAATTAATTAAAACCATTCCATATGATTTATGACTTCATTAATTACATTAAATTTAAATGAAAATTATTATGATTTCCATTCCTTTAAAAATCAAAAATAAAAATTTGCTGAAAATGTACTCACCCCCATTCAATATGTAGATGAGTTTGTTTCTTCATCTAAACAGAATTGTAGAAGTGTAGCATTACATGACTTGCTCACCATTGGATTCTCCAATGGGAATGGGTGCTGTCAGAATGAGAGTTTAAACAGAGCACAAATCCATTATTAAGATGTTTTTAACTTCAAACTGCTGCTTCTGGCCAAAATACCAGCCCATAATCTATAATAATGCTTTCTCCAGTAAAAATTTACTTGTATTTTAGCCAGAAGCAACAGTTTAAAGTTAAAAACGTCTTAATGATTCATTTGTTTTTTACAAACACACAGTTTTTCACTTCACAAGACACTAACTGATTGACTGGAGTGGTGGGGATTATTGTGATGTTTTTATCAGCTCTTTGAACTCTTATTCTGATGGCACCCATTCACCTATTCACCCAATTCTCTAAATCTGTTCTGATGAAGAAACAAACATCTACATCTTGGATGGCCTGACGTTGAGTACATTTTCAGCCAATTTTCATTTTCGGGTGAACTATTCCTTAAATATATTTAAAGAAAACTCACACTAATAATAGACAATAAATTTAATTTAATTATAAAAAAACTAATAATAATAATTTCTAAAAAAGAGAACACTTTACACCATGCTTTTACAAGTGAGTGGGATAAAATGGGTTGTTGAGATTTTGTCCTACACTTCAGCAATGGCAACCAATTTACCATACATTTTATTTTGATGTTGTTTTAAACTTGTTTACAACTTTATGCCATTTGTACAGTGGCCGAGAGAGCTCAACACGCTGCAATTTTACAAAACACATGCAAATAGAATAAAGCACCAGCAAATTAAGAAAACATCTTTATCAGTTTGACAGAACATGTGCTGCAAATACTTGCAAGACAACCAAATACAAAAACATGCTAAAAATACTCACAACACTAACAAATAAAGAAATGCGCTGCAAATGCTCACAACACAAACAAATAAAGAAACACGCTGCAAATACTCACAACACAACCAAATACTGTAGCACATAACCAAATGCAAGTAGCACAGACCACAACAAAATTACCCCAACAAAACGAAAATTAACCATGTTTTTTTTTTTGGCATATTGATTACCATTTGTATAACCACAGTTGTACAAATACCATGGTTAAAACTAGGGATGCTTCGATCTGCCTTTTTCGCCTCCGATACCGATCCGATACCAGTGAAGTTTTTTTTCCCTCATTTAAATAAATGTAGAATTTATATATCTCTGTGTGTGGAACTGATAATTATTCTTTCACAATCTACTAGATACAGACTACTTCATTATAAAGAAAAAGGGGATGATGGTGGAGCGTTTGAAGCATGAAGGGACTTCGCACAGCTCCAGTGATCTGTTGAAGATCTGTGTGAAGATGGGGGCCAGCTGGTCAGCACAGGATTTCAGACAGACTGGTGTAACACAATCTGGGCCTAGTGCTTTTTTCCTTTTCTGCTTCTGGAATACCTGGCGCACCTCATCTTCGCTGATCTGAATTGCAGGTGTGGGGAAGAGGGGGGTTGCTGGAGGTGTGAATGGTTGTGTGGAGAGGTGTTCAGGGCGGGTGTGGGGTGTCTTTTCAAACCTGCAGTAGAACTCATTCAGATTGTCTGCCAGTTGTTGATTCTCCACAGTGCTGGGGGATGGTGTCTTGTAGTTGGTGATCTCTTTCAGACTTTTCCACACTGATGCTGAGTCACTGGAAGATAATTGAATCCATATTTTTTAAGAATAATTCCTCTTTGCCACTCTGATCTCCTTTTCCAGTGTATATTTAGCCTGTTTATACAAGACATTGACCCCCTTCCTGTAAGCATCTTCTTGACGGAGCTGTCTGAGTTTTGCAGTGAACCATGGTGTCGTTGTTGTGGGTTAAATGAGTCCTGGTAGGAATGCACATATCTTCACAGAAACTGATATAAGATGTTACAGTCTCTGTGAGCTTGTCCAGATCGGTGGCAGCAGCTTCAAAAACACTCCAATCAGTTAGGTCAAAACAAGCTTGTAAATCCTGCTCTGCTTCATTAGTCCATCTTTTTACAGTCCTTAAAACAGGTTTAGCTGATTTCAGTTTCTGCCTGTAGGTCGGTATAAGATGAACCAAAGAGTGATCAGAGAGTCCTAACGCTCTGTCTTAACTTTTAATCAGAACACAGAACAGCTGTATCACAGGCGCACCAGCCTAACTAACTCACTCGTCTCTCCCGCATTAACCCTATGACTGCTGGTGCAGCAAAATAAACAGCAATTTTACAATGATTATAAAGTCTGTGTGCTCTACTACATTCTTTATTATTAAACGAAGTAATTAGAACAACGTCAGTCTACATTCATCGACACATTCTTAGGAAATAGTGGTTTCACAGAGAATTATCTAAACTACTTCAGTAAGACAGTAATATCGTGCTTTACCTGGAAACCTAAAGCTGCACTAGGTATACATCACATACTAGCACAAAAACATGATATTTTGAACACGCAATTGAAACTGTACACATAACGTATCAATCGTACTTAAAGGTTGTCTTTCAGATAGCTTGTTAGCCTACATTAAGAAGATTAGAAGCCAACGAAGATAAAAGCCAAGATTAGAGAAGCAGTACTTGGTAAAATGACATACACACACCAAAAGATTTGAATTGTATTTCTGTCCTATCCTTGAATACAGCGTCTTCTCAACATGATGTAAACACACTAATTAGCGGAAGTGTTTGTGGGCAGGTCAGACTCTGTTCGTATTTCGTGGGTAGGCGGGGATTATGCAAATGTGTTACCCAGTGACGTATACCGGTATACAGGCAAAAGATTTGAAAATATGACGACTCGTCAAGGCTGTAGCGTCTGGACCAACCAGACACACCATTTGTCATTTGATTTAACAAATCAATTATTCATTAGATTAACAAACATTCACAGACCCCTCACCCAATAAACATACTGGGTGCCAAAATGTCTGTGAACGAGGCCCGGGATCCTGGTTACCATGGCAACCATGACACCTCTGCTAGACCAGATAGATTTTACGACCTAATGGCATGTTGAGAGTCACCCCTCTCACTACAATTTCCATAGGAAATCCACAGTGCACAGTGAAAAATTGACTCTGTGAGACTTAGGGGAAGTCGTGGCCTAATGGTTAGAGAGTCGGACTCATAACCCAAAGGTTGTGGGTTCGAGTCTCGTACCGGCAGGGATTGTAGGTGGAGTGAATGTACAGCGCTCTCTCCCACCTTTCAATCCCACGACTGAGGTGCCCTTGAGCAAGGCACCGAACCCCCAACTGCTCCCCGGGCACCGCAGCATAAATGGCTGCCCACTGCTCCGGGTGTGTGTTCACGGTGTGTGTGTGTTCACTGCTGTGTGTGTGCACTTTGGATGGGTAAATGCAGAGCACTTCAGGTCATTGTGTATATTATTGCTGTCTTGTATATTATCTGTTGTATTCGGATGATCTAATTGAGAGTGTATATTGTATGTTTATACCTATGCAACATATTAGTGTTCTAAGAACCTTTAGTAATCTTTCATCAACACCCAAGCAAATTACATATGCGAAATACCATGCTTAGGGACAAAGGGTCGTAAAACCCTCCAGCAATTGCCACCTCCCGCTTGGAATTTCCGTCTTTCTCATTGGACAAGCCCCTCTTGAGAGGCGTGAATCTTCGCAGACTTTAAAGGCCGCACTTCAGTAACCCGCCCAAAGTCGGTGGTTTGTTAGGTTTTGAGAAAATCTGAGCTACAATGCTCCAGGACATCTTTTGAGCAGTTTTGTGCCAGGCCTTTGGCCTTGAATTTCCATTTCACCAAGATTCTCTGATGCAAACTGGTTCTTTTTCATCAACCAACTTCAGCAAAGATCCACGCGAGCCTTCAGATTGCATCAAGCCTTTCTTTCAGACAGACGAGACGTGCAAGTATTCAAACTTAGTCTTAT